CTGCCTGCCTGCTAAACACAAACTAATTTCATACACAGAGATATTTTCCCCTCAATAACAACCTCTCCCTTCTGCCAGTGACATCAAAGCCCCCACCTCCCACCTCCGCATTTCTGTGCGGCACCTTTTATTCTTTAGTTTAACTATATTAATATATTATTTATTAGCTGAGTAGTTTTACATCATTTTTAGCACCAATTTAAAAGAAATAAAGTATAAAGTAAGTAGAAAACAAGTACCGTACTCAAGTATTTGAGTAAATATATTGTTACATTCCACCACTGACTATAAAGTAGTTCATGAACCAGTTGAGTTTCGATACTTTGAATATCAACTTTGATTACTTCATTTTGCAGGCATTTTAAATGTTTTACACCAAAATATTTTACTCACTATAAAACATAAATTTAATCATAGTGCATCTGTTTTAACTAATTAGGCTGATATCACTTTGTATCAATCAGTAATTTAAGAAAGTTTAGTATCTCAACTGAACGGGTGCTCGGTGCATTTACACACATGCACAATCACATTGCCTGTATACCTTGACCAAAACTGACAAATCAATAACTCTGAGAAGACAAACTTTGTGAGCAAAACTGACCAGTTGTGTCACACAAGACAAATTGTTGCTGCTTTAAGAAATGTCAGTTATAAGAAAAACAGTTTGCACCTACTGTACAATAAACACAGGACATCTACTCTCATCTTAATAACCAAATTTATTTCAAAGCATCTGAAAAAGTGAGATTGTAGGCCATTTCAAACTGACGAGGTCTTCTGCGTCACAGCACTGGACTCGCACCTCACGGTGTCAGCGGGCACTGTGGAGAGAAGGAAACGGTCACACACCAGCTCAAAATAATCACATTCAACTCAACTCAAAAATAAGGATGGTTAAATCTCATTCATAATATTATGAATCAACAACTGATTCTCTGCCCTGGTTATTTTGACCAAATACTGTTAAGTTTTTGTTTTTTGTTTCCTATTTTTAACGCAGCCACCTGTCTCCTGCATTTGTCTGGTGTTTCAGGGGGAAATTAATCCATGGTGAGAGAAGTGAGTGCCGCCCTGATGACTAGGTCAGAATCAACAGCTGACACTCACCGTAAACCCCCAAGTCACGTGAGTTCAACTGTCACTCAAGTTCACTTAAATTTACAAAAACACCTTATTTTGTTTTTTGGTGGGCCATGACTGATTTGTTTCCTCACTGTAATCCAACAAATGTTTCATTTTTTCTGCTGCAAACAACAAATAAAAGCATGCAACACCAAGCACGTTTTCTCCCCCGGATGAGTGACTGACAGTTAATGCTTCCACGTGCGGTCAGCAGTGCATTTCAGCTGCAGTGGATTAAAACCATTTACGGCAGTGGTAAACAACCAGGGCTGAGAGTTGGGTGAAAAATACACTTACTCAGAGAAATATGAACTCTGTTACGTAACAGTTCAAAATGCTCTGTGATAATCCTCCATTTGAGAAGCTTAGTGTTCAGTTTTTGTAGAGTGTCAAAAAGCTCCAGATTAAATTCTCTACTAATTTTAAAGGCCACAGACTATGGTGTTTTTGTATTTAACTTTATTGAAAGATGTTTTCCAAAGTTTTGTCAACTGCCATTCACATACTATATAGACAGGACACTGCAAACACCTTTCAATACAACACACAATACTGATTTTTGTCTCAAATTAAGTGACTATTCATAGAGATGACACTTATTGCAGGGTTGCAATTAAGGTGATATGAGACTAGATATCATCTTAGATTTTGGATATTGTAAATGTTGTCTTTTCCTGGTTTTAAAGGCTACATTATAGTAAAGCGATGTAATTTTCTGAGCCCCCCCCCTCCCCCCCGACTGTTCTATTAATTGTCTTTACTCACTAAGTCATTATATCGTCATAACTGATGATTATTTGTCAAATCTAATTGTGTAAATATTTTGTGAAAGCACCTTTGGACATCTAGCGCTGCAATGATAAATTGACCAGTTGTCAACTATTAAATTTATCACCAGCTAATTTGATAAATCAATGAAATCGATGTGAGTAAATTTTTTGGGGAAGAAAGTCAAGATTCTCCGATTTCAGCCTCTTAACTGTGGATATTTTCTGGTTTCTTCACTCCCTTATGACACTAAACTGAATATCATTGAGTTATGGACAAAACAAGACATTTCAGGATGTCATCTTGGGCTTTGGTCAACACTAATCAACATTTTTCACCATTAACTGACATTTTATCAATCAAACTTTATGGTTCATTGAGAAAAACAGATGTGGTTGCAAACCTACTAGTCTCATTATTTTATGTTGGGCTTTTGATATTATTTTGAAGCAGCTGCAATAGACGGTGTTAGGAAGGCCAAAAACTGTTATATTGTTGTATATACACATGGTTTAATTTTGTGACAGTTAAAGCCTACTGCCAGTGACATCTTGATTCTCCTATTGAACATATTTTGTGTATCCTATGAAATGATACGTGACAAGTGCCTATTTGAAATTACCAGCCCACTTCTTTGTCATCAAAGTGCTGATCGGCAATTTCATAGATGCCTCTGTTTATTTGTAACATTTTTAATAGTTTGTTTTCCTGAAGAGCACTCTGAACTGCTTTTGTATGATATGGTGCTATACAAATACATTTGTTTGTGCATCTCTAATGCAGACAGCTGATAACAACTGTTCAATACCTACCTATAGTAAGTAAATTGGCTAACAGATAGTGCTGGGTTTATGCCTCCTCACCTATCGCAGCCTCCTGGCTTCTCTTTCAGACTCCAGAAGTGTCAGCACATCTCCTTCTCTGACTGGGCCCTTCACGTTCCTGATGATGGAGCGGTTGCTGTCGTCCATGAACTCAACACGGACCTGCAAGAAGATCAGATTAAGTGACGTGATATTACGTCAAGCCTTAAACATGTCAACAGGTAAAATCTGACACCAGGTTTGTGGCCCACTCTTCAGTTCACACTGGTATAAAGGGTATCATGAGTTAAAATTTATCATATTATAAGCTTGTGAAATGTTCCTAAAATCACATTTAACAAAGCTTACCTGTGAGTAAAACTTGAGCCCTTGAACAGTGCTCAACAACCAACGTCGACATTATTGTTCTACTAAGGAAACTGGTTTGACTCCATGTGAAGCAGACCTTAAGACAGTCAATACTATAGTGTCGCACTGAACAAATAAGATATTCACTACATATACAGTGCTTCTTTATATTTTAGGAGGTATTTAGTATAAACTCTTCCACAGATGCCTAAAGAGCTGCTGGAAAAACAGCGACAGGTTGCTGCAAAATCTTTAGATTTGATGTTCAATGCTAACTCTTATTAGCATACCTGTGTACATTGTCCCTGGGAGCCGGTTCTTCCGAGGACCCTGGTAACCTGTGAAACAAGAGAACAAAATATAAGTTACCCTGACACTAAAGGCTTTCAAAGTAAGCAACATATTATTGGGTGTAAATTTCAAAAAGCGGCCAGAACGGTCTACAACATGTTAAAGTGTGCTAGCTAGCAGATTATAGCATGGACGGGCCTCCATGATGGATTCGCGAGAGCCGACATGCCGTCCCTTGCAACGGAGTAGAAAACTAAATTTAGCTTCAATGTTTTGGTACCGTATAAAACATTAGTTGTTACTGTAGCGATCTATCCGTTTGGATCTTATTATTTTAACAGTAATATATGTTTTCTTACTCTTGCGAGCTTGATCAGCTGCACGCGGTTGGCATCCATGTTGTCAGGCTAGAGCGGAAAGGAAGTCACGTGGTGCCCGGCAGGGCTATATCGCAACTGTATTTCTAATTATTTTTTTAAATTCTATAATTTAATATTAACTGTTACTAAATTATAACGTATTTGATTGGATAAGTTAATAAAAACAACGTGATATTATTATTTTTAATTGAAATTTCATGTGAGATTCTTTCTTCCTCTTCCGGCGAGTGGCCAATACCATTCACACATACTTTCATGGGGGGAAACCAGGGCTGTACCATTAGTCAATGTGTCGTAATAGTTTTTGCCGTATCACTATTTTTAACTTCAATTTATTGGAATAATAGACCCAATCAATTATCTCTGGCTTTGTAAACCCATATTTTGTTCATGTATGCATGCATCTGTTTAGTATTTCCTGTTTTATGTTAAATTCTTTCTGAGACTACAAATATTTTCCAGTTTTTTGAAAGGGATGTCTGTAAAACCACCGCATAGTGTGGTGTCTACCTGCAGGGCTAAATAGACTATGAAAAAATCTGATTACTGATACTGGGTTGCAATCTTAGCATGTTAGCTTGTGCATCACAGTGACAAATGCAGTGAGAAGTGTTATTAAATACATATTTATTTGTGTGGCATGTTCACATTGTAGCAGTGCACATTCTACTATAATTTTAAAGTACTGATTTAGTAAACAGAATCATAGTTTGGTTGATACACTCAGTATCATCATTCAGTATCATATAATTAAAATTGGACTTTATTTTGACTTTGCTTAACTGTGTTATGACAAACAAATTATGCTGTAAATCTATTATAAAGCGATCAATGACAAACAGGGAGGTGATCATTACCAAAATGTGTTTTTATTGAACAGACAAAAACAGGAGGACATTTACACCATATATTAAATTCTGGGTATTGAAATATACGTCCAAGCTTAGTTTTACTGTTCAGACCGAGTTCAGAAGGACTACATAGCCGGAGCTAGCCAATGAAATCTACCTGCAGCATTAATATGAACTCCCTGTGCTGAAGCTCTCCATAGCCTTGTTAGCAATGCAACACAGTCATCACACCACTCTCGCCGCCTTTCTCCCTCTCTCAGAACTCAAAGCCTTAAATCACAACACTAATCCTCGTGAACAGTATTTTTAACACGCGTTTGGACAGAAAGAACAGCAATAGGATTAGAGAGTCAGTAAAGAGGCTGAATCCCTAACTCATGCAGTTGATCTTCTTGCACGCTGAGAGACAGACACGGTAGCTGTTTCTTCATCTTTATTTCAGCCTTTTCAGAGGACAATATTTAGCCTCAATGGAGATCTTGTGGAATACTGTTGTTATTGTTTTTCACTGACTTATCTGATTGGAACAAAACTTTTTTTTGTTGGTTTGTCTTCTGAGGAGCCATCACAATGGAGGCTATGAAGCCCAAGTTGAAAGTGCTGAAAAAGCGTCGCTCCAGCCTTTTTGCGACCATAAAACGGGAGATGAGCTTTACGCAAAGCATTGAAGAACAGGAAAGTGAATTCCCTTTTTCACAGGACAGCTCTGTGAAAGCATGGACATCTATGGACAACCTTGACACACCTGAAGAGAAAAAAGGTGCAAGAAAAGATCAGAAAAAAATTACACCCAACCCAAGGAAATCGAACATAGTCAACCTCAACATAGGAGGAAAGGTGTTTCACATTCCAAAGCATTTGGTTCTCAAATACCCCAAAACCAGGATTGGAGTCCTTGCCCTCTGCAACGATCCGGTGAAGCGTCTGACACTCTGTGACGATTACAATGTTCAGAATGACGAGTTCTTTTTTGACAGGGACCCCATGTTTTTCCACTACATCTTCCACTTTTACTGCAGTAATGTCCTGTGGGTGATGGACAGTCTGTGTCCTGTCAGCTTTGAGGAGGAGATGTCATTCTGGGGGTTGAAACTGAAGGACACTCCAAGGTGTGCTGCAGATACTTAATGCTCACTTTGTGTCTTGTATAGCTTGGTCTGTCGTTTGTGTATTTCAAGCAGCTCTTGTAAAATGATCTTCTCCTTGTTCTCAGGTGCTGCCGCATTCTGTTTGAGGAGAAAGTGGATGACATCAGAGACCAGCTGAAGGTGAACCAGGAGCTGCTCGACGAGATTAAGCCTCACCAAGATGGCGAGGGATACAAGACCATGTTTCTTGGAGACTTTCGGAAGATCCTCTGGGACTTGATGGAGAATCCTTACTCCTCTCTAGGAGCCAAAGCCTTTGCTGTGTTTTCCAGTCTCTTTGTGCTTATCTCTATTGTTGCCATGACACTGAATACAGTAAATGAACTCAGGCAGTATAAACTTGGTGGCAAAACCTACATGGAGTGGATAGAGGTTTCCTCCATCCTTTTCTTCACCTTAGAGTACTTTTTGCGGTTATTCACCACATCCAACATCAAACATTTTGTGAAGAGTGCCCTCAACTTTGTTGATGTGGTGGCTGTGATGCCCTATTTCCTCCAGATCATTTTTGAGACATTTGTTATGGATTCCGAAGACGTCAGCGCAAAGGAGGATTTAAAGGCCATGGCGAGGGTCAGTAAAGTCAGCAAGGTGCTCAAGGTTGTCAAGTTGATGCGCATCTTCCGAATCTTGAAGCTTGCCCGTCACTCCACAGGCATGAGGGCATTTGGTTTTACTATCCGACAGTGCTCTGAGCAGGTATGGAGGAGTCACAGCTGACAAATTAACAGACACACAAAAATACATTTAGTGAGGGACATGCACAGATAACACAGGTAACTCCCATATAAGCTAGAGTTAAAGTGGCTGTAACAGTGGATCAGATGACTAATTGTATATGAACATGGTTACTTGTAGTGATGAACCAGTAAAGAACTATCACCTATTCTAGCTTCATACAGCACATTGCTTTGGGTTTCAGACCTGCAAATCTACTGTTTTGGTGCTTTTATCAGAGATGTTTGTAGCTGTTTTCAAACAAGCAGATTAAGCTGCTAGCTGGTGAACATAGTGGAGCATCTAGCAGCTTAAGAGGCAGATATTTACCTCAGGAGCTTTTCAGAGACCAAAACAGAACTAAAAGCAGAGTAAATATTGGACATGTATTTATCAGGTGGCCAAAAACATAGCTCCATGTCCATGAATGCTAATGTTGCCTCATAATTGCTGCATGTATAAGTATACAACACTTTGTTAACAAGTGCCCAAGCAATTTCCCCTCGGGGATTAATAAAGTATATAAAAAATGGCAACTTTACTTCTGCAAACCACATATATGTTACATCTATATGTTATAAAGTGGATACTTTTTGTTTCAACAATGCCTTGCTTAACATGTGGTTACTGTAGGAAAAGATCATGTTTTGGCTTAAAATACCAAGTTTTTTGTGGCACTATCCCGGCCGGAAATGTAGTGATGTCTGTAAAAAACAACCACTTTTCGTGGCACTATCATGGCAGAAAATACTGTAGTATCTCAGTTAGCAACTGTTTGTGGCACTGTCCCAGCTGGAAATACAACGATGGGTCACTAAAACGTAACCAAGTTTGGAAGCTAAAAAGCCACTGAACACGACAAAGATGAGCCAAAAAACAACCAATTTTGTTGTTTGTTGGCACAATCCCGGTAGGAAAAGCAGCAATATCTCTAAAAAAAGAACTTGTTGTACCTAAAAAGCTGCTGGAAAAACAGCGACATCACAACCATTTTTTTTTGTCTCGAAGAATGATCTGCACATCGGCAACCATCTTGCCTAGATGTCATGCCATCTACCATCCCCTCCACCCCCCTAGACAAAGTCAACTCATATGCCACGTCACTTTAGAAACATTGACATGAAACATATCAAGCGTACAAATGCAATGTATCTGTGGTTTACAAGAGCGTACAGTGTCAACATTTGCCTCTGGGCTCGGCCTGTAACAGTGTACAGGTGAGGTCTGGATTTTTATAAAAAGGTAGCCACCAAATGCCAGACTCTAGCAGCACATATCCAAGAGGAAGTTGCAGAAATCACAGACACAGAGCTGAAAAAAATGCAAATATAACTGACAGTTCCTGCTCGCTAGTGTAAGAACCTCCTCTTTTGTCCAGCATTCTCCTGCTCGCCTCAGTGCTGCCACCTGTGGTGAGACAGATCTAACAGACAGTACACAGGAAAGCTTATGTGTCATTCTTTGCTCCGAGGTTCTTAACAGCTACTCTATATTGGCCATTTGTTAAAAATACTTTATGTACATTTTACAGTAATACACATAATATGTAGGTTTTCTAGGTGGTGCAAAGTAAAGCATAAAATTGTCATGTGACCTGATGGGTGGTCCCAAATATATGAATATATGGATTTCCAAATATGAATGAGCGCTGTTGTTGACATGTACTCTTCTGTCACTGTTTAGGTGTGCTGTCTGTTTCTGTTCATTGCCATGGGCATCTTCACCTTCTCTGCTCTGATGCACTCTGTGGAGGTGGATCAGCCTGGGACACCTTTCAGCAGCATACCAGACGCCTGGTGGTGGGCTGCGGTGAGTAGCTAGACTTCAACATCCAATTCAGTCAAAGTTCTGTTCTGATTTTCTTTTTCTTTCTTATTTATTTATTTAGTTTTTTTACTCAACTGTTGGCAGTGCCTTTTTGTGACTTGATCCAGATAGTGTAGAGTTAGTTCGTTTTCCTCTTTCTCACTACTTTCCTGAACAGAATTGTCAAGAATCAACATATACATACAATGCCAGGAGATGCCTGAATTGCCATTATTATCAATGTAACGAAGAATGTTACGCAACATTTCAAGGACTGAGGATTGTGTCTGGGGTCAGCATGATCCAGCAGTGTGGTGCATTTCAGTTGTCAAGGATTAGGCCTACCACGATTTGTGCTGTCTGCCTAATCAGACCAAGACTAAAGTTCACAGTGCGAGGCAGAGACGTGTTTCTGTGCTATTTTTGGGACTCTACTAAGCAATAAGGCGGAGTCTCTGCAGATAAATACACCACCACACACTTCTGGTTGGTAATAAGTGATGACTGAGAGGTATACTTATGTATGAGTCTATAGGCTACATTGTTTTTTAGGAAATTTCTGCATAGTATACCTTAAACTGGCTGGTGACAGTGACCAAACTGACCTGTGGTTAAGCACCAACTACTGCTTCGCTCTTTGACAAAAATTATTCTTACCTTCACTGGGCAGCAGATCTCTTACAAAATGTAAAAAATGAAAAGGTAACCAAATGTGCTGTCTTCTCCCAAGCTAATCATTGTACAGGTGCCACATTGTGTGTTCATTCTTGGTAATTATGCACCTTCTGCTCCACAAGTTTTCCACAAGCGTTTGTTACCCAGTGACTGTGTCCAGCTCCAACCTCTGCAACCAGCCATGTATTTCTCTGTAAAACCATAACTTGTTGTTTTGCAATTTCTGTTTGTGTATGTAGTAAGAGATCATCTGTTAAAAAGTAAGCTTTAGAGATGCTGCAGGCAGATTTTTGACATTTTGGACAGGACCAAGTGAGCTGTTTTCCCGTTTCCAGTCTAGCTTCTCTAAAACTTGGTCCAGTATTGAGTGGAGGGCTGCAGCCGGCAGCCATGAAACAGGCTGCATTATAATCACTTGGGGCAGTATGCACACCATTAACTTAAATCCACTAAAGGTAGCTGGTTTTGCAACTAACAAGCTCAGATTGTTATTTCAGTATCTGACAAAATTATGGAAATGATCCCTTCAGAGACAAACCTTTTTGTTTAAAAGTAAGATACTTTTTGTTTATCCAAAAACCGCCCCAGAATTGCTATCGCCAAACTCGCCAGACTCCATTTTAATAAACAGCAATTTTAGCATGTATAGAGCCAACATTGTTTTACATCTAACTTGGTGATTTAAAGGTTTATTTCAACCAAACCAGAGTTGGCGATTGTTGGAACAGTGGAAAGACAAACCAAGACAGCTTTTGTGAGTTTTATTCTGTTTCTGTCAGCTTTGAATAGAATGTGTTTTACAATGATAAAATGACTGTTTCTTTAAATGGAGTCTGGTACGTCTGGGAATAGCGATTTTGGAGCTGTGTCTGGTTTAAAATAGGATCTTATCCTTTAACAAAAATGGTCTGTCTCTGTAGAGATCTTTCCCATAATGTTTTCAGGCACTTTATGGTTGCATCGCAATCTGCAATGTTCCCATTAGCCTCTTGGACACAAAAACATTGGGGAAATAGGGTCCATGTTGAAAAATACAGACGTTACCCTTTAACAGAGAGTGGTATAAATCTTTTTATTTAACTCTCGGTAAGAACACGAATAATCGTATTTCCCATAAGGTCAAACTATTCCTTACATTTGCTGGCAATAGTGGTCATGTTTAGTGACAAAATATTGGCACGTTCTGACTACCAAAGAAATTGCATGGGTTTGCATTTACCTGTTTTATCCTAGCTGATAGAATTGCATCAGACACTCTTGGTAATTGACAATGTAATTATATAACGATAGGGTGCAGAATAGTGAGCTAATTAGCTTTTTGATCCAGTGGGCATTGTACAGGAATCCATATTCAAAGGCTCCACCACAGCTATGGATTCCTTTTCTACTCACAGCTTAATTGTACATGGCAAACAAAGGTAAGAAATGAGATTATATTTCCTCCGTAATAGTAACAACATTCTCAAATTGCACTAGCTTTGTTGTACTGTAGGTAGTGTGCTTGTACATCATCAGCCTGGTTCTCTCTTTCATTCACTCTCGTTTAGGGACATTTGGCTTTTATTTATCTGGTGGCAGCTGTTAACTTATATGTGTCTAATCCCCTCTAATACGGTTTTATGCGTCTCATTTGTGGCCAGACACAGTGATTGCATTCCAGGGATGGAAAGTGTTGTACTGCATTCTTGGAGGTTTTAGTTGATCCTGTTCAGTCTCAACTTTGAAACACGCCAACAACTGATCAGTACAAGAAATATTTTATTTATTGCACTCTCCAGGAGCCATGGCCAATGGGTGTTGGTGGGCAGGGTGACAGGCACTATGAGGATGAGCCCTTCCTTTTTTGGAGTAAAGAAGGGAAATCCAGATATTTTATTCTCCTGCCATGCTCTAAATGTCGTCATGTTGAATTTAAAAAAAATAAAATAAAAACAGCACAGGGGTGTAGAGCTTGGGGTTCCTTTTGCCTTTTCTTACTAAGTTAATAAACCAAAGTGTAGATGCACGTAAGCTGATTCTACTCTTCTTTCCACAGGTGAGCATCTCTACTGTTGGCTACGGAGATGTAGTCCCTATCTCCTATCTTGGACGCTGTGTGGCGTTTGGCTGCATCTCTTTCGGCATCATCCTCAACGGCATGCCCATCTCCATCCTGTTCAACAAGTTTTCCGACTATTACGCTAAACTGAAGGAACAGGAATACACATATTCAAACACGGAGCGCTCCTTCCAGCTCAAGAAACGTCTGCGGCGCAAGTTTGACAGCTGCTTTGAACCCCCGCCAGAGGAGTCCGATGACGAGATACACTATCGGCCCAGTGGAAGGCAAACTACCTTCGACAGCGATGATTTCTCAACCCACTAGTTACAACCTCGCTCACCCTAAATGGCCTTATCACCCATGGGTCTAGAAACTGTAAGACCCATCTGCCTCCGACTCTGAGGTCTGAGCTCATGTGAAGATAAACAATCTCGGGGAGGGGGGTCAATGGGGCGATGGAAGCAGCAGCAAGTTGAGATAAGCTTTAAGCTTCAGCTTTACAGTAGGTGCTGTGTGCACGCTATGTGGGATGACTCCTCTGTCAAATGGACAAGAACCTCCTGCTAGATGGCTTGTTATCTGTTTCCAAGAATAGCACTCGGCCGAAACTAATTCTGACTAAACCGAGATAGATGTTTGATTCAGGGAGCTCAAGTAGTTACATTATCAACAAAGCAATGTCATACTCTAATCACTTTACCGGGAGTGTGATGCTTGTGAAGAACTGTTCTCATTGGAAGTGCTATTAATGGACTGTTTTCGACAACTACATGGTCTCCTACATTTTACTTTACATCCTTGATATTCTGCAGCAGAAATAATGGAGTGCTGCAGGAATGAGTCCTAAAACCCAGAAATGAGTTAGCCCTTCCAGTTGCCTCATCTCGAAGTCAGTGGGGATTTTTTTAAATCGGTTTTAGTTAGAAACCTGAAATAAGGTCTGTTATCTCTTAAATGCAAGTTTAAGAAATTTTTAAATAATAGAGATTTTAAATATGTCAGTGAATACCCTACTTGTGAATTTTGAAGCTTTTACATGTGTTAAAAAAGGCAGTTGCCAACAAGTGGCTAAATGTAACTACAGAGGTTGTCGCGGACATTAAAGTCTTTCTCCAGACACATATTTAATTATGTAAAAATAATTACACTAACAATAATATTTTCCTCAACATGGTTTTTCCAAATAATAGTTAAAAAATTTGCTTTCAGTGAGTTTTGCGTTCCACTTTTTCCAGAGCTGCTCATGCTAAGTTGACTAGCGAAAGAGCAGTGAGCATCAAGATGGCTAGCGTTAGCATTGGAGGAAACATCGGATGTTAAATGTAGTTAGCATCTTTTATTTATGCTGTTTGGTAGCTTGTTAGCTTGTGGGCTAACTGGCAGTGGTTGACACAGCCTGAGTGGGTGTGAAACATAGTAATATCTGCTACAATGGGGTTTCTGGTAGGTGGTGGAAGGAAGCTCCAGGGTTTACATCCAAAAAGTGAACACTCATGTTTACTGTAAAACTTCCACTATGCTAATGCTAACTCTACTCTCTGTTCTGGGGGTTTCAGGTTTCTTTGTCAGTGTTGTATCGAAGTCTGTTCCCCCGTCAATATGTGTGTCTTGTATTAGACAACGAATGACTTCTGTGTTAGTGACGTAGGCTACCTACGTTAGCTTGCCCAGAGGACATTTGAATCTCAGATTTTAGGGAATTGCACAGACATCGCCCCCCTCAGCAGTACAGTATATGAAAACACCTCTCTAGTGACAAATTGCACAGATGCAAGTCAGCACAGTCCAGGTCAGACATTTTAGGAGCTCATAAATATAAGAAAAACAAATCTAAAAGTGGAGGAGGACTTTGAATGTCATGACGGAAGTTTTAGTGGTGGTGATGTTGAAGTCATGCCACGCTGGTGTTTGTTTATAGCCTAACATTAGCTCTTTACTTCTGATGATTGCATTTATGCTTCAAAAATCATTACAAAGGTTTTCATGTGTGAAGATTATCTTGCTGAACAAAATTTGTGAGCTAACATTTGTTTGCCACAGATCTATTTTCTGCAATAATACAAAATCCAATGGAAAATTACCATTAGCTTTTGTCGCGGGAATCAGGGTGATCCTAACTTCCGGGTTGGCCTACAGAAAGCATAATTCCTGCAGCACTCTCTAACCTTTATTTAAATATCAACTCATTTGAACATGGTGGACGTGGTGGATTGTAGTCATTGTCCTCCACTCTTTTAGACTAAGGAAATACAAGTGTACATGCGATGAAAACTCAGATTTACATGCACCTCAGAAAAAAACGCCCCCAGTGCAAAGCTCTTCTATGTGCCATGCTTCATGTGTCAGCAAAGTGGTATTGTAGTCAAAGGAAGCACACCTTTCTCTCTGTCCAGTCACTCGGCCTGTTCTTAACGGCACTAAGTCGGAGGAGAGGTGCAGCAGGGGGTGTGTCAGTATAGCGATCAAGAGCACGAGTGTAATTTTGTTGTCAAGGATTACCGGGATTTGAGCTTGCGCCTCCTGCCTGGTCAGACAAGGGCAAGAGTCAGCCATGTACTGTGCTATTTTGGTGGCACAGATAATCTGATCAGGTGTGCACAATCAAGTTCTATATTCAATACTTAGAAGTTACTTTTATGAATGATGGCAGGTTACTCTGATAAAGCTGGAAAAACAAGACAGACCTGCACTGTCTTTCTTGCAAGTTGTTAGTTACAGGGACAGTGTCACTTAATAAACATCAGCCAACATGTCAGTATTTGGCATGATGACAGCAGGGAGTCAGCTTCCCTGGTCTTGGCTTGTACAGTAGATGTCAGGATCAAGCGTGGCCCTGCCCTGTAGTCGAACCGACCTTGCAGCGTCCTGCTGGCTGTGTTTAGCACTTCCTCTAAGATCATTAAACCAAGTCCTGTCCTGGTTACCAGAGAGCTGAAGCAAGCAAATGTATTATGTCATCCAAACATAATTAGGTAGCCGCATTGGACAAAGGCTACAGTTTTCTCTTGAAATGTTTTCTTGCTGTAGATTTGCTACAGGGCTGTTCTGTTCGGTCCACTGGTTTAAAGAGAAAGGGACAGATTGAAGAAAAATAAGTTCTTGACTGGTCATGACCAGTGTGCAAACTATACCATGGCTTTTAGGGGACTTCACTTTTTTTTACAGGGGGTGGGGGCTCAAAACTGACTGTGCCTCTTGTTTCTGATGAACATTCATAGCTGCAAGCATGTACCCACACGAGTTTCAAAACCAAACCTCACAGTCTACTCTGCACAGTTATGTACTATATTCTATAGTTTATTGGCACAAATAAGACACAGATAGGTCAAATAGCAAAGTGGCGTATAAACACAAAAATATATGCACAATAATGCAGCATTCACATGATCCGCGGATGGTCCCATTTCCCGAGTTAGGAAGTCATTCTTCCAACTTCCAACTGTATTCGTAAGCTTTTAACTCATAATTTGGAAACAACACGGGCACTACAAAAAAGGAAAAGAAATATTTTGTTACTCAGAGTGTTTAACATCCCAGTGAAGATTCACAGTGCTACAAATATGCTGAAGAGTTGTCTTGTCCCTGACTTGTTGCTACACCAGTACATCCCCTAAATCCACTGAAATTGCTTTACCTGACTTGATATCATGGTTAATGCTAATAAATAACTTTTCTAACTAATCTACATCACTCTATGTGGACAACAGTTACAACCTAATGCCATATTATATGTGAGCGAAAATTAACAAGCAACATGTGAGTAAATAAAATCAACCAAACATTTAGTTTTGTCTGCCATGTTTCTGTGTGATATGATATCTCCACAACTTGTGTAACAAAAGTTTCCAACTTTCTGAGTTGTTGTTCCAACTTGAGTGTGCATTCGTTTCAATTTTCCCAGTGGGGAACTCATTTTTTCTTTCTTTCTGACATGTATGCTGACTACAAAACAGAAAACTGAAAAATGGCAATTTGCTGCAAGTGGAATGACAAGAAAGTTTGTTTTTTCTTTCATTTTAAGTGATTGCAGTTTATGATAATACACTGCTATGCTTCAGTGATAATGACAAGAGTCGCATGCATGCCAGTATTGCTATAAAAAAGTGAATTAGTGATGAATCATTCTCATGTATGAATCATACATTAATAATCACCTAATTTTACACATGATGATGAAGATACGTTAGAAAGAAAAGCCTGGTAAAAAAGCAAATTGTCAATATTTTGAGACATCCCCCACCCACCCCCCAAAATTTTACAGATCATGTTTTTAGCGGATGTAATGCCTTATTAAAGGGAAACATCACCTACATTAAGAATTCCAATATGTTTATTACATGGCTTAGGAAAGTTCAATCAGTATTCGTGATCATGAGATACTCTCTCTCAAAGCCAGAACCCAGAGACATAAATATCAAACTTGTGATCAATAATGATCAAGTTTAAAGTCTGGAGCTTCTGCATAGACAGTGAGTCATTTATACCACCTTTCCCAGTTTGTCGTCTCTGAAGCAGCTTCACATTGTATACCCTATGACATCACAAATTTGAGCTTTAGCTTTCTAGTTTTTGGATTTGGGAGAATTATTCATGTTCACTAATATTTTTGGACTGTCTCAGACCACAGGAGTAACATGTATGGATTTTGAAAATGGGCATAGTTCCTCTTTGAGAGGAGCCAAGCTCCCCTTGGCTCCCCTGTACTTTGCACCCTGGTCATGACTGATACCAACCCTTACTATACAACATACACTAATTCACACCCCTCTCTAACCATACTGAAGGTGTGTTGTGTCTGTGGTCATGACAGAACACCCTGTACCTGCCTATGGAACATAATTACTGAGTATAAACCCCGTATACAGTACAGGCCAAAAGTTTGGACACACCTTCTCATTCAATGCGTTTTCTTTATTTTCATGACTATTTACATTGTAGATTCTCACTGAAGACATCAAAACTATGAATGAACACATGTGGAGTTATGTACTTAACAAAAAAGGTGAAATAACTGAAAACATGTTTTATATTCTAGTTTCTTCAAAATAGCCACCCTTTGCTCTGATTACTGCTTTGCACACTCTTGGCATTCTCTCCATGAGCTTCAAGAGGTAGTCACCTGAAATGGTTTCCACTTCACAGGTGTGCCTTATCAGGGTTAATTAGTGGAATTTCTTGCTTTATCAATGGGGTTGGGACCATCAGTTGTGTTGTGCAGAAGTCAGGTTAATACACAGCCGACAGCCCTATTGGACAACTGTTAAAATTCATATTATGGCAAGAACCAATCAGCTAACTAAAGAAAAACGAGTGGCCATCATTACTTTAAGAAATGAAGGTCAGTCAGTCCGGAAAATTGCAAAAACTTTAAATGTGTCCCCAAGTGGAGTCGCAAAAACCATCAAGCGCTACAACGAAACTGGCACACATGAGGACCGACCCAGGAAAGGAAGACCAAGAGTCACCTCTGCTTCTGAGGATAAGTTCATCCGAGTCACCAGCCTCAGAAATCGCAAGTTAACAGCAGCTCAGATCAGAGACCAGATGAATGCCACACAGAGTTCTAGCAGCAGACCCATCTCTAGAACAACTGTTAAGAGGAGACTGCGCCAATCAGGCCTTCATGGTCAAATAGCTGCTAGGAAACCACTGCTAAGGAGAGGCAACAAGCAGAAGAGATTTGTTTGGGCCAAGAAACACAAGGAATGGACATTAGACCAGTGGAAATCTGTGCTTTGGTCTGATGAGTCCAAATTTGAGATCTTTGGTTCCAACCGCCGTGTCTTTGTGAGACGCAGAAAAGGTGAACGGATGGATTCCACATGCCTGGTTCCCACTGTGAAGCATGGAGGAGGAGGTGTGATGGTGTGGGGGTGTTTTGCTGGTGACACTGTTGGGGATTTATTCAAAATTGAAGGCACACTGAACCAGCATGGCTACCACAGCATCCTGCAGCGACATGCCATCCCATCCGGTTTGCGTTTAGTTGGACGATCATTTATTTTTCAACAGGACAATGACCCCAAACACACCTCCAGGCTGTGTAAGGGCTATTTGACCAAGAAGGAGAGTGATGGAGTGCTGCGGCAGATGACCTGGCCTCCACAGTCACCGGACCTGAACCCAATCGAGATGGTTTGGGGTGAGCTGGACCGCAGAGTGAAGGCAAAGGGGCCAACAAGTGCTAAACACCTCTGGGAACTCCTTCAAGACTGTTGGAAAACCATTTCAGGTGACTACCTCTTGAAGCTCATGGAGAGAATGCCAAGAGTGTGCAAAGCAGTAATCAGAGCAAAGGGTGGCTATTTTGAAGAAACTAGAATATAAAACATGTTTTCAGTTATTTCACCTTTTTTTGTTAAGTACATAACTCCACATGTGTTCATTCATAGTTTTGATGCCTTCAGTGAGAATCTACAATGTAAATAGTCATGAAAATAAAGAAAATGCATTGAATGAGAAGGTGTGTCCAAACTTTTGGCCTGTACTGTATGTATTGTATGTTTGGTGTGATCAGGGGTTGTTCATCAGAATTACACAACATAACATAACTAATGCTGTTATCTGAGTTTTCTGCATGTACAAACATACTTGTTGAAGGATTAAGACCACTGTCCAATTTCTGTTTACATTTTTCCGTTATGACAAAACAGTAGCCTAACAGTTTCAGAAGGTTTGCATCGCCTGTTGAAAACATGCCTGTTTGGAACGGGCTGATTGTTTGGCCTCTGGTAGTGCTGCTTGGAGCTCTCTTGAGAACCGTTTGTCCAGACAACTTCACACTTGACACTGTGCTTTTTTAGGGTCCTGAGCAATACACCTGCCTAACACTTGAGTCCCCTAGCAGTGTGAGAGTATACACATCGTTTGGGTGCAAAAGCTCACATGGACGTTTTATAGCCCCAATGAGGTCAAAGTCAGGCTATTTCCAGGAACAAAAGTTCCAAAAGTTACTTGGCTGATGCTTGAAATGT